ATGGAATGTTCCTGTGTGCCACACCTAGCTGAGTTGAAATACACGTGTGGAACCACTAACCCTGAAGGCATGTTGAGTGAAAATCAGTTTCATCATAGTGATTCAAAAAACAATACAAAGAAAAAGGCATAAAACACGCGAAAATAGCAATAACTGGTTCCAGGCGCGGATTTACCGTTGAGGTTGCATCGATAAGCACCGGAGAGGCCGATGAGATTGTATCTAGTGATCTAGACTATATGATAGACAGAAGTGAAAGGCACCATTTTGAAGTACATATTGTCCAACTTAAACTTCATGATTGACCTCTTCTATTGTAGCTGTCAACACTCTTTGAGTCATAAAAGACTATGAGCACTAGAAGATCATTACTCCTGAAGGCTTATATTCAGTCCATTCAGCCATTCACACACAATAGTGCGAGCATTAATGCAATGAAACATTAATGCAATGAAAAGAATCAAAACGTTGCAGTCATGAATCTTAAAGAGCAATAATGTTTGAGGAAGATATCTCAAAACTCCCCGCCGCCCGTGCATAACAACACCCCGCATGTAGCGAAAATGGTGACCGGAGTTTTTGTTGATTTCGATGTGTGATTTGAAATGATCCAATAGAATCTGAAAATCAATATATATATATATATATATATGAATATTCTGATAAATGGATAGGAGGCGTGTTAAGTGTTTATTTGACGATATTCTCCATTCTTACCAGAACTTATTAGAAGATATTAAGCTACGAAATTGTCAATTAGAAAGGCTAGCTTACGGAGAGCGAGTAATTCTATTGACGCACGAAAAGTTTTTTTATGTCAAGCGAATATATTGTTAGACTCAATCCGAACTCTCAACAAATGGAGCAAACAGCCTGCCCGGCTAGCTCAATCGGTAGAGCGTGTGACTCTTATCCATTGAAAGATGTTCTAGGTCAATCACAAGGTTGCGGGTTCGACCCCCGCGTTGGGCTCAATCCCCTGCCAATCGCTTCTTTTTGCATGTTTTGCGTAAGTCGTCAGTCTGTCAGTAGATTACACTTATTACTCTAAGTGATCTTGCTGGACTTTTTGCCTCGTTACTATTTATTATTCTGTGCTCGAGTCTCGCCTGTTGAAAGAGAAAAACTACATACATATCTCAGGAATATTTTACTACTTGTAGCCACATGCAAGGGCAATGACGATGCTCCTAAGAGGGCGCATCAAAGTTTCTACAGCATAATCAAATTAGCGGTCCTTAATGTTCTATTGGATATGGTCAAGGTGCTGTGTTTCTATCTATATCCATTTTTGCTGAGGTTCTCTATGGTTGATGAATAGATGTCTGGATAGATATCTGGATACACTGCTTGATGCGCCAATCTTCCCCAACGCTGTCTGACCCCAGTATTTGGTTACATGAAATTATTAGGTACTGATTCCACCAAGACTGTTTTATACTTCCTCCCTTCTTTCCTTCCTTCCCCCCTTTACCAGGCAGTCGGTCGACGAATCAATCAGCAGCCGTAAAGCCAAGGATTCATCATTGGTCAATCTTCTCCAGCCTATACATGCACTGTCTTCGTAAATCGTGCACAATACCGATCAATATCAATCAATACCAGTCAATACCAATCAATACCAATCAATACCCTTCCGAGCCTCCCATCTTTCCTGAGGTTACTCGAGTATTTCACTCCAGTGATCAGTGATATGCCACAATGGAATGGACCCGCGGGAGCTAATCTAATAAGGGGAAGGTCGTATCGCTTATCTACGGCTTCTATCGCGATAAGGGTCTTTTAAACCTTCCTCAAATGTCAGCGATACCGGCAATCTAAACATTTCCCCTCTACTCGAGTAAAACCCTCTCTACCTCTCTGCCTCTCTGCCTCTCCGAACTCTCTGACTCTCTGACTCTCTGACTCCTTTCAAGGTGGAACCATTACTTGATGAATTCATGATTACATGATAATTTCATGATCTTCAGCTAACTCATACATGATACATATAATGCGGATGGGAGTCACATGGTTATCTTTCTTACTTCATTTACGTCTCAACTTTCCCGTCTCCCGTCCTCCGTCTCCACATCCTTTTCTTGTAAGTTATTTTCCTCCATAGGATTACAAAGGAGAGTTACGCCCTTCGTTTTGACACCAGTTGAACAACTGTCTCAACCCTTGCAAACTACATACTCAACAACGGGAAGTCGCATCAAGTATAAACTCACCGTATTTCTCTGTCTCTCCTCAAAGATTCTTCCAGTCTTTACCTCTTCATCATATCTTTCCTTGCCATTTACTTTCCTCCATACTTTCACAACTCAGATCAAGTCCAATAAGAGAAGATGGCTCCTCCAACTGCAATTGATATTGAGGGTGTAGTCGATACTGAATCGATTGTCCTCCCTGATCCATTGACTGTCAATGGAGTTTCTGCAAGAAGGGCAAAGGCTGGGAAATTTGTTGCAGGCGTCGCAGCATTTACTACTAGTGATCATTTCAAAAGTCCGGTGGGTATATTCTACCCCAGAGATATTGGTCATTTCCTAATGAGTCACAGTCAACATGGAAACCAAAGGCCAAAAGATTTGATCGTAAGTCCCCCTTGCAATTTGTATATGTACATGCACTTTGACTAATTACTCGCAGATCGTATCTCCCTCGAGAGTAGATCAAGAAAACCATCAAACTTGAAGAGCGCTGCTAAATACTTGGGCCCTGGAATGATATCTCTTGGTGGAGGTTTACCATGTCCCGACTATTTCCCAATCGAAGAACTATCCATCAAGGTCCCTACAGTACCTCACTTCTCGGAAGCACAAACAAAAGAATCGGGAACCATCTTGACTGCTGGGAAATATGACGTGTCTGAGGGCAAGGGAGCATACGATCTCTCTATCGCACTCAACTATGGACAAGGTTCAGGATCTGCCCAGATGCTTCGATGGGTAACAGAACATACCGAAATCGTTTGCAACCCACCTTATGCAGACTGGGGCTGCTCTCTTACTGTAGGAAGTACCTCAGCTTTGGAGCAAACATTTCGCATCTTCTGTGAAAGAGGCGACTTTGTGTTATCTGAAGAATATACGTTTGCTTCTGCTGTCGAGACTGCCGCTCCTCTTGGTGTAAAATTCTTGGGTGTCAAAATGGACGCTGAAGGTCTTTTACCAGAACCTTTGGATGAAATTTTGAGCAACTGGGATGCACAGGCAAGAGGGGCTAGAAAGCCATTTGTTCTCTACACTGTACCTTCCGGGCAAAATCCTACCGGTGCAACACAAGGTACCGAGAGGCGGCATGCTATCTACAAGGCTGCTCAAAAGCACGATTTATACATCATAGAAGATGAACCCTACTATTTCCTCCAAATGCAACCATACACAGGACCAGATGCTCCTGATGTCCCACCACCAGCTAACAATGATGAATTTTTGAAATCTCTCATTCCAACCTATCTAAGCATGGATACTGATGGAAGAGTAATGCGCATGGATTCTTTCTCCAAAGTAATCGCACCTGGTACTAGAGTAGGATGGATTACTGCTTCCGAACAAATCGTCGAGAGATTTATTAGATCTAATGAGAACTCCAACCAAAACCCAAGTGGAATCTCCCAAATGGTTCTTTACAAAATTCTTGATGAAGGCTGGGGACATGGTGGTTATCTTCAATGGCTAATCAACCTTCGATTGGAATACACTAAGCGCCGAGATGTTATTCTTGCCGCATGTGAAAAATACTTGCCCAAGGATATCGTAAGCTGGAACCCACCATCTGCCGGCATGTTCGTAAGTGGTTCATGAATCAACATCAATAGGAATTGACTAACAGATTTCAGCTCTGGCTCTCGGTAGATTGGCATAAACATCCAGCTGCCAAAACCAAGTCTATTGGAGATATTGAGCAAGAAATTTTCCTCTCGGGCATTGACCAAGGAGTTCTCATTTGTCCAGGTAGTTGGTTCACTGCTGAGAAAGATGGCTTTGTACCAATAGATATGTTTTTCCGCGCCACATTCGCTGCTGCATCGGAGGAAAAGATGACAGAGGCTATTGAAAGATTCGGAGTGGCTGTTAGAAACAGTTTTGGCATTGAATAAAGGGGTGCATTTTGATTGCATAGTTGCGAGGCGTTGATATAAAATCGGGTTAGACAATCTGTTGCGAGATAAGAGGATGATTTTCAAACCAAGTTTTAGAGCCATAAAATTTCCCAAGAAGAACTAGTGTGTTGTACAGTATCTCAAGTCTTTCTCGAACCAGGATGATCCTGAACATGAAGTTCGGCCTATATGTTAAAACTGTGACCCTTGTTCAGAGTGACTCTGTAATTTCTACCTCATTCTTCATTTTCCTATATATTAGTCTATCTCTCAATTGATTCCGCTCTTTTTTCGAAGAGATAGAAGAGAATCGGGGGTGCGTGCGGATTTTTGAACCAAAGGTCGAGGAGCGGAAAGCCGCGTAAAGCTGTTCTGTCTCGATTTATTAACCTCCCGAAGTCTTGAAAATACACGCGAATAGCAATGTATATCTAGCACGAATCAAGGCTCGATATTACGCACGACAACAAAAACACTGTCCAGCGGCGACCGAGAAAATCGATCATGATAAGTTTTTGAATCTTGCTGTCAAGTATGGCGTCAACTTGGAGCGTTATCCCAATTTCCCTGTCTTTCCTGGCCCCGTTCTTATTCTTGATTCTGCTTCCTTGAATTTTAGGACTGGGTTTGGGTTGGGTTGGTAGGGTTTGACTTGGTGGAAATACCATGAAGGCGTTAGGAACCTTGATTTGGAATGTTTGATCATGTGGAAGGAAGGGGGAATCAGAGAGATCTTTATACTGTGTGGTATTGGAAGATTTGAGGTGTTTGCATTGAATCTTACCGGTCTACTCTCCCACCTCGTATGTGTGGTCAGAGTTGGATTCAAAAAAAGATTTGAAAGCCTTGACTTTACTTTCGCTTTCGCTCGTGCACTTGAAGTAAGTCGGGAGGAAAAATTCATTGCATGATGGCTCACTTGACTACGATTAGAATCTTTGAGGTTGTCAAGGTTGAATCTCACGGTACTATGAATATTGTTAGCAGTACGTGCAACTCTTCAATGGTAACTAAACTGTGCAATGACGACGAGATTTCCATCCTCGGTATCTACCCATCCGGTATGATTACTGGTGCTCTGGGTCGAAATGTTCAAGGAAAGCTTGGGTGATTACGAGATTATATCACTTTGACGAAACACCTTGGTGACGTTGAACACGTTGCATACTTTGCATGTAATTGATACCTGTGCTTGAAAAGGTCCTTAGATACATCTCGAAGGTGGAAGAAAGATTGGCTGGAGAGTGTGAGGCGGGTTTCTACGATATGTTGTTATCATTCAAATTCATAAATTCGAGACTCAAAGTACATTAGGGGAGCGATAATGAAGTCAAATGCAGGAAAGTGGGTATATTGGACAAGTTGGTAAACTGTTAATTAGATGTCAGATTGCAACAGTTGCACGTTACCGAGGACTCTATACACACATTTATATCACATTTCACTTGACCGAACTCAATCTTTCGAAATTGCTATTGTTTCCCTCTTCATAGCATCATATATCGACCATCGCAGCTTTCCTGGCGCATCGCTGCGTCTCTGACCTTAGGCTTCCTTTCCATTACCTCGGCGACAAAATCTCCATCCACCCCCGAAGTCATTTTTCTTAAGATCTCAAGTCACCTACCGCGGAATCCTCTCAAACAAAGTTGAACACTTCCACAATGTTAAATACGCTGCTGATACATCCGGACCTAACCGTTTCGCACCTCCAAAACCATTTATACCCCCTCCTGGTACCATCATAGATGCTTCTTTACCCGTTCCAGCATGTCCTCAAATCAGAGATCCTATGCCATCTTTTTTCTCTACAGTTGAAGAAGTCAGCGAAGATTGTCCACACTTCCACATTGCTCGACCAAGCGTATCGCATCTGAACCCAAAAAGCAATCTCCCACTCGTTGTATACAACGCCGAAGGAGGCGCCATCAAAGGTTCCAGTCATGATGACCACATCTCCCCCGACAAACTCATCTCACTATCCGTCACCGACGGCAATCCCATAATCTTCGTAGCACTAAATTCCCGTCTCAGTATCTTCGGATTTCCACACCTACCTTCATTAAAAGATGAGGAGTCTCTCAATCTTGGTCTGCGGGATCAACGTGCGTCGTTCGAATGGGTTAGAGAGCATATCCGAGAATTCGGTGGCGATCCAAATCGTATTACTGCCTATGGCTTGAGTGCTGGTGGTACCATGACCTCCCTTCAGATAATGGCGTATGGTGGCATGAAAGATATACCTTTTCAGTAAGCATGGGTAATGTCTTCTGGACCACCTGGTGCTTCTCTCGATATGACCGGTGATGCGACTGAACATCATACTAGAATTGTGGCGGATCAAGTGGGTTGTGGAGGACTTGTGGATTCGGAGATTCTTTCATGTTTGCGGTATGTCCCGATGCAAGATCTTATTGATTCTGCAATGGAGTAGCCCGTGTCGAATCATCCACCCTCTGGTGTTTTTACCTTTATTCCTTCGGTTGATGATGATTTTTTACCAGATCGGTACTCAACTTTGATGAGCTAGGGTAGTTTTGTAAAAATCAGGTTATATATAATCTATGTCGACAATTACGAGACAGCAAGTGTTCTAATAACTCCATCTAGGCATCAATAAGATATTTGGATGGACTCAAGATGACGGTGCCATGAATGTCGATCCTGGACATCTCATTCAAACCGAGGAAGACATGATAACCTCCATCAAATCACTCGTACATGCCATGACTACAGAACAATACGCAGAACTATTCGATCTATACCCAGCCCCAGACTTCGAAGAAGAATTAACCAATTACATATCACAGAAATTCGCCGAGGATCCTGATATTTCAGTTTCACTATTTTCGCGTTTCCCGCATCTTGAGAGATTATTGTTTACCTGTTCCTCCATCGATTTCGGGTACCACATGATAGAATGGACACAACAAACGCTCAATCCTACATCCACGGGAGTAAGACTCTATGACCTAAATCAGAGTGCTTTGACTCCGCTATGGAAAGGGGCTGGAATGCCTTGTGTCAAAGTATCTCACGGGTCCGACAACGACTATCTATTCAACGGTGTATTTCCAGAAGGTCAACTGACTGAAGAAGATAATGAGATGTCGGAGACGATGGCGAGAAGTCTTGTCAATTTTGCGTATACTGGGAATCCGATTAGTATATCTTTATCACAGAAACAATTTGATGAATGACCGGAATCGTTCGATAAAGTCGAGATAGAAAACACAAGACTCGAGAGCTTTAAGGTTCAAGTCATTGGAGGTCATCATGGGAGTGGCTCTGTTGGCTTGACCGACGAAAATGGCCATGGCAGTACAAAGCGGAATCTGGAAAATGAGAGTATTGGGACATGGCAACAAGTTCTGTCTAGCGCAGAGGAGTTTAGTCTGATGAGTTCGGCGAAGGAAGCGGAAAGGAAGAGGTTGATTGAGGGAGAAAAACTGTTTCGACAATGCAGATATATCAATAGTTGGGCGGATACACTCGATGTATGAATGCCATACTACTGAGATGTTCATACCTTAACTATAAGTGACGCGAAAGGTACAATGACGATGGTGATGATCAATGGATGGAGGTAATACTGATGGAAGTTTTGAGATTTTATGTGATACTTGATCGGTGTTGACAGCATGTTGCGAACAAATGACAGAAACTTCAGTATGACAATGAACATTCACCCGGAAATGTGGCATACACACACATTGCGTTTCAAATTCCCTTGTTCACATAGCGTTGCTAGTCCCCCCGCCCTCCAAAGAAGAGAAAAGGTCTAGTATTTCACCAAACTCAGCATAATCGTTGAAATCCGCAAATTTCACAGTCAGGAAGAAGTAGTCCGAATTGTATAAATTTCTCTTGTACATTTCCCTTGCCAGATCTGGCTAGTACTACGATTAGCTACGCAAGTCAATCAATCAATCAATTAATCAGACATGCTATCAAAATCAAAAGAATGGGCACACTTACAACTTCCATTTCAAACGACATCTCACGTATCTCACGTATCTCACATCTCCCACCCTCTGATTCCCAACCCCATCCCTATACTCCACCCCCAAGCACATCTTGATCTACTTTCCCATTTCTACCCAGGTTCAGTATTCATTCTACAAATCTATGTATCAACCACTCCAACCCACCACATACCACCGCCTATCCTCTCAATCTTCCACGACGAGACAATACACGATCAAAACTCTCTGGGTAGTATAGTAGTACATGAAACATGTGAATACAAATACTAACAACAACAATATCCCTCGTCAGCATTGATTCGTTGACACAATAATTAATCATCGCCGAATTCCACAGCATTGTCATCAAGACCCGCTTACTGTTCAGTACATATACGATCCCATCTCATCCCATCCCATCCCATCTCATTCTACCTCACCACACAAGACGACATCATCCCGACAACCTCACCAGATCAATTCATCTCAACAATCTTTACCGCCTTGTTGCTGAGCTGTACAGTTGTATCGTTTGTATATCGAAATCCAAAGATAGCCAGTCACCTGAACCCGATATTTATACTCTTATTTCTCATCGCTTCAAAGCCAGTGATTTGACCTCTCCTTCCTCTATCGTCTTGTTCTTTGATACTCATTTCGCATAAGTTTCAATATCATAATTAAAGGCCTGGATTGTTAAAATTAGAAAGAATAGACTTATACAGCGCTGTAGATTCGCCCAGTCGGACATGATAAATATATCAGCACTATGATTGGGATGATAAAGAATCGAGACTGTTGAATGTTTGTATGCGATGGAATGATTAAGATCTCGAATATCGTATATGATAGAGTGATTGTGACGAGTCACTTGGCTCACTATTCATTCGTTATGTGCATTCTATTTTCTTGATACTCAAATAATATGGTATTCAGATCATTGTAAAAATGGATGCAAGAACCCCATTTCTTATATTTACATCATGAACTGAGCTGAGAAAAACACTTTCATCAATCGTTAACGTTCATTTCGTTTGTTTATTTTTTGAGCAACCAAGAAAGCAATCAACGCCGTATCATCATTCTAGATCTTCTCTTTCACAGATCCACTTTGCCCATCCAAAAATCCCACGTGTACACCCTGTCCAGGCTGTAAAACAATATCACATTTCAATCGAGGATTTCCTCCATCAATTTCATGCATAAATTCCTCGAGTCCATCAAAATTTTGCAAAAGTCTAACGATCGTATAACCCATTTCCGTGAGTGCAAACTGTTGACCAATACAGATTCGGGGACCGCCGTTGAATGGAATGTATTGCCAAGGTTTAGGCTGCCATGTGAGCCATCGGTCGGGATTGAAGCTCATGACGTCTGGAGTAAGATCTTCGCGGCGTTGCATAATGAGAGTGGAGTAGCCGATTGGAGTGTCCTTGAGAATTCCAATAGGAGAGAGGCCATCTGGTCCGCCACCGACGGGTAGTGTAGTATCTTTGAGGGCTAGGCGGATATTGAAGGGAACGACGGGGTAAAGACGAAGGGTTTCTTGCATAACATTCTACATCTGTAAGTAAGGGATTTATGCTATAATGAATAATGAAGGACGTACTTGTAGATATTTCATATCTTTCAAATGTTGATAAGTTGGAGGTGTCTCTAGACCAACTTTCGAGATGACTTCCTCGCGTAATTTCCTAAATACTTCAGGATGACGAGCCAGTTCGTAGAATGTCCATGAGAGAGTGCAAGCTGTTGTATCGCGACCGGCAAGTAAGACTGCTACGAGTTGATCTCGGAGTATATTTCTATCACGGGTGTAGCCCGCTAATGCATGGAGAAATGTATACCCTTCCTCTGTTTTCGTTTTGGTTGCTAGTTCCTCGGGAGAAAGTCGAAGCGTATCTTCAATGAAGGGGGTAACAAATTCGTTTATAACCTTAAGACCTTGGTAGAATGATTTTCTTGGAACTAAACCATTTAGAGGTCTGTTCACAATATTAGCAATCGTTTTAAACAATGAAGGAAGGAATACATACCCAGCTCTCGCGATGACACACTGTACCCGCTGAACCTCAGCGAAAGCATCTGCAAATGCTCCTGGTTTCTCTAGACTGTCCACACTGCGTCCTAGCAAAAAGTCCGTCGCAGCATCTAGAGTATATCTGAAGAACAGATCACTAACATCAAGCTCCCGACCCTGAGTGCCGTCCCATTTTCTACCTTCTTCTTTGATTTTCCGGATTAAAATCTGAACATGTCTCTCGAAAGTATCCAAATCACTGACTCGATCCTTGATAAATTGTGGACGTATCAACTGACGAGAATCATGCCATTGGTCAAGATCTGTCGTGAAGATACTGTCACCAAGGAAGTCTTTCCAATCTACATGAAAGGGTTCCCCTTTGCCATAATCTCCGAATTGAGTCGCGAGTATAGCTTTGATATTTTCTGGTTCCGCGGTGAAAAGCGTACGTTGTCCTCCTAGATTTGCCTCTACTGTATAACGTAGGTCTTTGTAACCGGAGAAAAACTCCATCCATGCTTCGACTTCCTTATCTTGCATACCATATTTGACGGAACGCACAATTAGGTCGAGATCTGAAGATCATTAGCAAGCTTCTTCGCGGAGGTAGATGGAAATCTGTATCTGTACCGAATGGAATCCATGTCTTCACTCTTCTCGTATGACCACCCAGTGATCTAATCTTGAGCTCTCTCTGAACAGATTGTGTAACTTTGAACAGGACAAAAATCACAACAAATGGTACAATGAGAGATTTTACTGATAGATTTTCCAACATGATGCTGGAATTTTGTGATATGTATATATCAATGGACTCGCGCACGTATATAGAAATGAGAAATGATGAATAAACGAATAAATAAATGAATGAGTAACACTCAGAACTGAGGGAAAGAAGACTTATATAACCAAGTCTGAAACCAGGCGTTGTTTTCAATTATACTTATCATATTTGAGGAATCGGATGAATTTTAGACCTTGTCGCAATCATCAAGTTCCGTTCATACGTACCGGTAGGTGGGGTTTTCCCGAGGAATGGCGAAGAGCACAAGGAGGAGCGCCCCTTGTGATCTTTACCTTTGCTCGAATTGGAAACGATGGCTTGAACGCTGCCTTGGCTAATTTTACGAGCATTCTTGTGTGTTATGCGCAGCGGAGTGTTTCAGACGAGGCTTGCGAGGAGTTACGAGGAGGACCCGAGGCTCCACATGCGAATAATAGCCGCTTGCCTAAATTACATTCAAAGAAAATAGCGATTTACTATATTTTGTATGATGATTTATTAATACATATAATCATTTTTTTCAATTGAAACTTTCTAAATCTATTATTTATGTATTAATGATTTATAATTTATAATTTTTAGTTTTCAAATCCCAGTATAACTTATGTAATTAGAAATATATTGTTGAAATAATACCTTGTAAAAGTTCTTTAGATTTCGCTTATTTTGTGTCACGAGGACGTAGTAGCTAAGCTGGGTGGGGCCTGGGCCAACGGAGGATAACTACTAGAGGATTTATAATTAAAATAATTAGGAGAATTCTTATCGAGTGATCTACAGACTTAATTTAAATTAAAATATACCTATCACTTTATAAGCACTATAGATTCTAGATTTCAAAAAGAAAGTTATAATATTATAAAAAAGATTTATATTATATATAGTCTGTCACGGTATACATGTGATCGCATTCGATCGGGTGTTACAACGGCATCCAATATACCATGTCATATGATATAAATTACATGTGATGGAGCGTCAAGGAGCTTCAGCGCTCCTGAAGCGCATTACAATCTTTAACAATCCAATATATTGAAAAGGTTCTAAGGATTAGAATAAAGAACAAAGGTTTATATAAAGGAATGAGTTTCATTATAATATAGAGCTTTATACTCAAAAACAATTATTAGTTTCATTATTATAATTATGAAAATTATAATTAATTATAATCTTATTGAATTCCTACTTGAAATCTAAACTAAACTATTTCGAAAGAACTCTAGACACTTTTATATAACCCTAGAGGCAGCTCCCGTAACATCGAGCTAGTATGATATTAAGCTCTAAGTTGATCGCATATATAGCTCTATAGTATATTCTCTTTAAATCTATAGCTTTTAATTTTAAAATTGATTTTTAAATATTTATTAGGTTTGTTATATTATTAAAAACTCTTTCAAATAAAAAATAAAATAATATTAGTATATATTTATGAATAAAGTCTTTATATATATTTCATTTACTTTTGTTTAAATATATTACTTCTATTCTTTCACTTATATATAAATCTTCTTAATATTATTTAAAGGTATTATCTCTTTTCTTATCTTTAATTTCTTAATTATAAATTACAATTCAATAAACCTTATAATTGTAAAACTTTATAATAAAGTAATTTATTAATAAGATGAAATCTCGGTTTTATATTTTTTAATCTTCAAGTACATTTTTATTACTTAAATACTTTTTCAATTGAAACTCTTTTTCTTTAATTCTGAAAAGTTTAATAATAACTTTTAGAAATTTGATATATAATTACCCTTAATTTAAGCAAAACTATAAATAAATAGTATTATAATTAATAACTCTATTACTCAATTTTACTATATTTATTTCAATTTTGAATCTTATATATAAATTATAATACTACCTTAGCTTTCTTTTTTCAATCAAAATATTCCTTTAGATTATATAATAATCCTAAATCAATTTATATATATCTATAATAATTTGAATAAAGTATAGAAAGCTGAAAATAAGCTATTTAATCTTAAATAAGAAATCAATTCTTTATATATTTATATTACAAAATTTGAAAGAATTCTTTGTAAAATAAAAAACTAGAACTAACTTAATTTAAATAAGATCTCAACCTTTTTGTTACGGGAGCTGCCTTTAGGGTCATGTAGAAGTGTCTAGAGATCTTTCGAAATGGTTTAGATTAAACTTCAAATAGGAATTCAATAAGGTTGTAATTAATTATAATTCTTATAACTATAATAATGAAATTAATAATTATTCTTAAGCACAAAGTTTTATATATAAAGAAACCCTATTCCTTATATAGACCTTCATTCTCTATAGAACCATAAGGCTATATTCTACTTAGATCCTTTGGATTTTATAGATCTAAACATTTATTCTTTGATCCCCTAGATCCTCTAGGTCCATCACGTGACCGTTTGGCCATATAACGCGGTATGTTGAATACCGTCGTAACATCTAATAAATCTAAAGCTTTACATCTATTATAGAATTCATTCTATTCTTGAAATTACAATCTAATAAATATTAGTAATCTTAATGTTTTTAATATCTTTAATATTTCTTTGAATAAAGTTAATTACACTTCAATTCTATCTTATACTAAAATACTCAAGTTTTCCTTTATTAAAAAAATTCAATTATATAAGGAAAATAAGTATGTCTAATATAGAAATACTTTTTATTAAATATAATTCTATTCACTTAATTTATATTAAAACATTTAAGATCAAAAAGAATCTATTCTAATTATTATATTCATTTCTATTAACTTTTATAACAACAACAATAATAATAAAGATCTAAATAAAGTAATTAATAATTAATATTTTAAAGATTGCTTGAAAAAGATATAAGCTTTTATTAATACTTTTCATTTAATAGTAATATATTTAATCTTTTAAAATATTTTATAAAAAATCGATAAAGAAAATAATAATAATAATAATGAAAATAAGTTTTATTAATTATATTTTATACTTAAATCATTTATTTAAAGCAAGTTTGAAGTGAACTCTTTAGAAAAAGGGGGTAGTGTTATAATATATACGTGATTATATTCGATTAAGTTAATACAATACTAAGCTCTAAATCGATCATATATATAGCTCTATAATACATTCTCTTTAGTTTTATAGCTTTTAATTCTAAGGTTGATCTTTAAACGTTTATTAGGTTCGTCATATAGTCTAGTTATTACAACGGCATTCAATATATCATATCACATAACATAAATTACACATGATAAAACGTTAAGAAGCTTCAGTACTCCTAGAACACATTACAATCCTTAACGATCCAATATATCGAAAAGATTCTAGAAATTAGAATAAAGAATAAAGGTTTATATAAGGAAATAGGTTTCATTATAATATAGAACTTTATATTCAAAAATAATTATTAGTTTTATTATTATAATTATAAGAATTATAATTAATTATAATCTTATTGAATTTTTATTTAAAATCTAGACTAAACTATTTCAAGAGAACTTTAAATACTTCCATATAACCCTAGAGGCAGCTCCCATAACACTAGTATATACTTGAGATTGATTAGAATATATATTTAGTTTTAATTATATTAAAATATACTTTATTATCAAACTCTTACTAAGTTACTCGAAGTCTATTCGATATATTTCCTACTATTACTATTTAACTAGAAAAATTCAAATTACTATATTTGAAAACTATATAATAAAAATCTTAAAAATAAATTATTTAATTTTTCTTTCAAATCTACAAATGAAATCAAACAAGATTCTATGAATATATATTATACATTCAGATTCAATCGTATCGAAATTTCATTCAATTTAAGAGTGAATTTCAATGTAATTTAGATGATCGGTCATTATTTGTGCACGGTGGCTGTAAAAGAAACAGGATCTGTTAACAAATCCGGGGTAGGTTAAGGTTTGCTTCCGATTGCCGTTTCCACATTTATCATTGTGAGCAATACGTCGTATATCATGTAATCATCTGCGCATTATTAATAGAAATTTTGTTTAACATATACCTGGTCAGTAGGTGTGTATGTAAACAAGGCAGTTGGGGTCAGTAGAAGCTAGTGGGAGCTGAGGGGATCGTCAAGTCTAAAAAAAATGAAGAAATGCATGGAGGTCTTTGTGTGCTGTTATATATCACTCATTCGTTACACACCAGATACCAGGTAGATACCCAAGGTGTTTTTATCTTCAGGTGACCTGGTTGATTGATGACTTACAGTCGATATCAGAAATCTACCGAGGGACCCACACTGTCGAGCTTTTACATACTCATTGGGAAAGGCATCTTCGTCGTTGTGTAATTCCCTATCAAATCTAATCTATATACATGTGGAAAGTAAGTCTAAGTAGAGATATCAATGTTATATTAATACCAGATGCCTCCCATGAAACACCTTTCCCAAATGCAATTTCGCCGATATCCATAGCTGCAAAGCAATTATCCCAATTTCCCAGCCTACAATGAACATGTTGTCGAGTTGAGTTGTGTACAGTAAATCATTTGTACAGGTCCTGATCTGATTCCCAGAGTTCTCAAGTGTTCATTGAATTCTGGCAATCTGTTGCCTGCGTCGATTTGACTTCTGTTCTGTCCAGTGACTGGATCCTTGGCTCCTGACCACAATACTTCTGCAGCGGCAGCTCCTCTTGGCCATACCATATCGTCAATGTTGATTGGATCGGTTTGCTCAGACCAAATGTGAAATTCTCCGCCGACAACCAAATGAGTTGAATCTTCGGGTACTCCGGCAAGAGGATCGTAGGAGTAAACTAAGCGCCAACTCTTGGTAGGCGAACAATAATCATTGTAGGGGAAGTATTTCTCAGAGGATGCACCTGGCTCGAAATTGAGCCACTGTCCTTTGCCACAATCGAGATACTAGAAGTTTGTTAGTGCGGGAATTAATTTTGTTCGGATGAATTGTAGGATACATACCCAGAAGTTATAATTGCCAGCAATAGCTTTATGTCCAGCCGCGACAATTTGAGCGACAGAGGCATCACTGAGCCATGATTGAACGAGAACATCAGATCCCAAGGTGAGGTTCCATGTTGTAATCATTTCTTCCCAGACCATTGGTGTAAGTCCAGCAGCTCTAACTTGTTTGTGGTTTCTGTCCACAAATGCTTGGATCAATGGTCGAAGAACGGCTGTATCATTTGATTGAACGGTGGGATCCAACAAATAGGTATTAACATTAACTTCATCTCCACCAGTGTGGAAGTACGACGAGTATGGGGAGACTCTGGGAAGAAGATCATCAAATAATTTCTCAAGGAATGCTGGTACGGCTGAATCATTAAGTCTCAATGATCCACAAGGAGGTTCAGCACAGTAGGTATCCCAAGGTTCTGCGAACAAGGCTGCCATGAGCTCAGGGTGAGAATATCCAATGGAGCTTGTGTGGCCAGGCATATCAATCTCCAAGATAACCTCGATACCAAGCTCAACGCCATACTCTTGAATTTCCTGGAGGTCTGCGGGGGTGTAGGACAGCCCGGTCGCATATGCACCCAACTTTGACAATTCAGGAAGTGTTGGGATATCCAAAGGCCACGACTGAGCATCGGTAATATGTAGATGAATAACACTGCATTTAGTGTAATGCATTGCTAACATTGTTCTCTTGATATCCTCAACAGGATACCAATTTCGGGATATGTCCATGTTAAGTCCGCGGTGTGCAAACTTTGGTGCATCGTAAATTGCCACGGGAGCTAATTTTGTGTAGACACCAGCTTTAGCAACAGAATGTGTATAGAAGAGTTGTGTGAACGTGGTCAGTGCATGAAGGATGCCAATAGATGATGGGGCGCTGATAGAGGCCTTTCCATCAGTAGTGATTGTGAGGTTGTATGACTCGTCAACCTGACCATCGGTAGGCTTGAATGTGGAGGAGTTATCTTGTCCGGTCTGGGTGATGAGGATTTCGCTGATGTAGGTCTTGTTTGAGGTAGCTGATGGCTCAACTAGGGGCAAGGTGTTTCGTGGATATAATTTCCATGGTGTCAAACCTTGATAGAAGATCTTGTTCATAGCTCGAGTTACGGCCTTAGAAACGATCGTCTGGCTGGTTGTCATATTTCCAGTTCCACTACTAGAATATCCTGTAGACTGTGCAGCGAGCAATTTCTCAGTATTCATATCAACATAGAAAATGGGAGGGAATGATCGTACAGCACCGCCATCATAAGTAACCTTAACGTTCTTATCCAACCACAAAACACCAGTACCATTTGTGTACGAAACAGGCTGAGGCCAAATGGCCAACGCAGAGGAGAGCAAAGCAGATATTAGAAAAGTAGAAGAACGCATTATTAGAAGTGTCGATGTAGTATTGTATGTGTAAATTAGATGTAACGAGAGAAGTGGGAATGAAATAAAGGGATGGGGATGTGTAAACTATATAACTTCATGAACAGGAGTACCGGTATACTCATTGCTCTAACCAATCACTTAATTGATGTACAGCCGTGTGGCTCAGGATTCACGAATGTTTTGCAGTATTGGCTGTGGTGGTAAATTCACCAGGATTCAGGAGTGCCGCAGGAATATGAACCCAGAGTGATTGGACTGCGCAGATCTTAGAATAGAGTTGAAAGCAATCAATTTAATTTTTCCCAGGGCTTGGATATGACGATAGATGAATATGCAGGTAGCCAAATCTGAAGTTCCAACTGGTTGTCCTGTTGTAGTAATACTTGTTACTTGGTGCGGAGAAGTCTATGCGAGACTACGAATCCAGCTTGCCGTAACGTTACGACAAGCACCTTCAACAGCCGGGCGAGGTAAAGTACGACGTGATGAAGTATCTTTGACTGGCTGAAGGTAGCAGTAGGAAAGTAGCCGTTTACACTAATAGGATGCTCGATGAATTTGTTATCTGATCACGTCGCCCCCTCGGTCGGGTTGATGCATCTGCGAGGGAGAAAAGATATGGGTGGGTGGGTGTGAGACTTCGAGTGAATATGCTTGGATATGTATGTTTGGAACTTTGGATACGGGTGGACACCAAAATGGATGTGTCTGAGTAGCAATGGATTGGAGGATGGATCTAGGTTGGGGGTTGAGAATTTTAAGTTTAAGAATCTCATGATGTTGAGATTGTGATGTACATGAGGGGAGGGGATAAAGTCAAATTTGCATACTCGGGAGTTGGAACTCGGAGAAGGCTCGCGATTTATGCAGTACGCAGTATATTATTGGTATCTAGGCCCAGGGACACAACAAAAATGTGCAATCTACCTGGCACTCAGTCACAAATGACCCAAAAATACTAATAAACGTAGGTAGCTAGCTGGCTTGGAGATGCCCAGGTTCTTGGTTCTCTTGAATTGCCCATAATTTCCTTGGAGCGGCGTCCAGAAGGTTCGATGGAGCCGATGGGTTAAAGATGGCATCTGGATATGTCCAACGACGGAGTCGAGCATGGGAAATACGAAAGAACATGTCAGCACTTGGAGGCTGTGAGATTGGTTGGACTTAATACAACATATATAAATTCCAATGCTGTTGGTGTGTCTGAGACTCTTAGTGTGCTGTTGGTTTGCAGTGCCGTAATACCAACATCTAGATGTATGCACGAAGTATTGGTTCTGTATTCTGGTGCCTCAGATCTCCATGATCGGATGAGCCGATAGATACCTCCCTCCTTCCTAGCTACTACGGAGCTGTGCTGTATGGGCTCAATTCTAAGTTATTTATCAAGTCGGCTCGGTCGGTCGATGTGCAAGTGGCCGTTCCCCGGCTTTCAAAGGGGAGGGTTGAGTACCTGACTCCTGAGCTGGCGGCCTGAAGGTATTTCTTAGTAGGTAATATTTGCGACGAGAGAGCTGACTAAGGCTTCATGAGCTCAAAGGTTCCCATTCATTGACTCAAAGGATGCAGTGTGTAAAGCGCGCGGTGTAATCTGGTGAGTGGTGCATGGTGAGTGGTGCATGGTGAGTGGTGCGTTGTTACCAGACTGCATTGCATGACTGACCGACCAACAATTCTAGTCAAGAATGGTGATGCTCAATGAATCCTTCGAGAAACCTTGGAATACCTACCTAGATAATATGGAAAGTCTGTAAGTGGCTGGGGACAGTGGCGGGGTTGACGTGATGAAACTGAATCACTCATCACTCTACCTAGAGTCTAGAATTAATTACAACCTTATTTCTAAGGCTTCACACATTCCGAATCTCCCGCTAGGTATATCAGTACCAAACCTACCTAGGTAGGTAGACACCTGCATGAGCCACTTTGCACAAGCCACATATAGCACGTGATTGTGACTAGCCTTTTGCGGCTCAAAATGATATGTCATCCTAAGGCAAATATGGTTATTCGCCAGGGCTCTTCAAGCTTCTTGGTCTTTCAAGATCTTTATTCTATCAAACACCGAACATCGTTTTCTTGAACTAATCACAATCACCGAACAAACATTACAACATTCGAACCACCACCAAAAACAATTTCCTATTTGTTGCGTTTTTTGAGCAAGATTGTCACAGGTGAAAAGAAAACCACCGTTTACCATCTCCCTTATTTCCGTCAAGAGCTACCACAGCTCAAGTACTTGAAAGCTTGACTTTTGATAAACAAAGAGATCAACGAAATCTTAAAATGTCGGTCGAAGTCGTCTTGGATTCGCCTCTGGCTCATGCGCTCAACGCTTCCATTCAACCAAAGCTTGTAGAAGTAGGATGGAGTACAGGCGGCGCTGATGACTCTGCGCTTTCGGAATATATTATCCTCATGCTGGTGAATGGAAAGACGCAAGAACAAATCGCCGCGGAATTATCAGGCGATCTTCTAAACCTTGGTGATGATGATCCGGGAGCAAGGGATTTTTCACAGTGGTTGTTCAACCAGGTTGGACTAATAAATTCACAGATCAGCGGTGGAGGATATCCAGAGACTGGCGCAGAGACTGAGCAGGGTCAATTTGGAGATTCAAATGTGTCGCAAGATGCGGATATGAATGATGCTTCCGAGGCAGGCGATGTAAATGTGTATGCAATCAGTCTCTTAATTATTTTCATAATCAGAAACATTCTTTCTCGAGACCAAAAACTAACATATCACAGACCAACAGGCCCCAAGTCAATGCGAAATGGAAGTGGCGGTATTAGTCGTCCGCGGGATAAACGTATGCTGAATCATTTGACGAAGGCAATGGATCGTACCCATGATGCCGCTCTCCATCGAGTACGACCACAATCGGGAAATGAACGCATAAATACACATGCACGAGGACCACCAACAGGGCCAAGGGGACCTGTAAATATCCGAGGTACTGCTCGCATGCAAAACGGGCGTGGGCATGGCGCCATGGGTAGTATGCCGTCGCAACATGGTGCAGCGCAAAATATCATGGGCATGTCTCCACAACAACAACTCGAACTATATGCTATGCTTGAGCAGCAATCGAGACTGATGGCGCAAATGTTCACTCCACAACAGCAACAAATGATGCAACGAGGGGGCAATGGCATGGGCTCAGGATTCCCGGGACAAGGCAGACCTTTGCATGAGCGAATGCAACATCCCAGTCGATCCCAAAATAACAACTTCCAAAAGCGCCACGAGCAGCAACCACAATCTCAAAGTGATAACTCGATGGATGTTGAGATGAATTCTAGCGATAAGGTTGATAGTCTTTCTCCAGACACCACATGCAGATTTAATTTGTCTTGTACAAATAAAGACTGCAAATTCGCACATCAATCTCCTGCAGCTCCTCCAGGAACGGCTATTGACGTTGCAGATGTTTGTACCTTTGGCGCAGCCTGCAAAAACCGAAAATGCGTTGGGCGGCACCCATCCCCAGCTCAGAAGATTGCACACCAAACTACTCAAGACTGCATATATTTCCCAAATTGTAAGAATACCAACTGCCCCTTCCGACATCCAACAATGCCATTATGTCGAAATGGCGCCGATTGTACAACAACAGACTGCAAGTTCACACACGTCAAAACCATGTGCAAATTCAATCCTTGCTTAAATCCGACATGTGCATTCAAGCATGAAGAGGGCCAAAAGAGAGGAAAGTTCGATGATAAAGTATGGGTGGCAGATGGTTCAAAGGAGCATGTCAGCGAGCGGAAGTTTGTGGATGAGGATGGAAATGAGGAGCTGATTCTACCTGGAGGAGCGGCATCAGCAGACACAGGAGCAGGAAAAGGTGGTGATGCAGAGATTGCCGGATAGATGGATTGAATACTTACATGAGCTATGTGGAGAATGTTTAGTTTAAGAAAAATGTACAACATGCATAGGGATGCGTGGGAAGGAGATTAAAATCTGGCGTTTTATGGACAAGAGAATCGTGACTGGATTCTCGGGATATATCTTGGTTGGGCCCTCATAATGAATAGCTGGTCACAGCCAAAACTTCTTTAGGTAGAATGAACTTTTACATCCTCGGCACCCCAAAGCAAAAAGACTTTGGGGCTTAGCCAAGCAGAAAAGCTCTCACATCTCTTCTCTTGCGTTTAATGTGAATCTATGAATCTATGACTCTACACTCATCATTGAGCTCTTCTAGAGCTCACCACAACTGGCTCGCATCTCGCAGAAGCAAAGGAAAGGCAGTCTCTGAGTAGGTAGGTAGATGAGCATATTGATTCGCTATTCAGAATCAAAAGCATTCAATACATTCAAAACTGCGAGGAGAATACTAGGTAGTTATTACATGAAATACTTATTATACAACTTATTAATGACTACTACAATTTCCACATGTGTTTTCTGCTGTGTACCTGAATTGATACCGAAGCATAGCGCTTTGTGGGGGAGGGGTAAGTGAATAGTACCTGAGCTTTTAAGGTACAAGTACCTCACTCAGTAGGCAAAACAACTCCACGACGCTTCATCCAAACATCACTGGCAATCTCATGCTGTTACTGAACAGCATTGACAAATAATTACAACGAGGATGCGTCTGCCCAAGTCTCATCTATTGGCTCCTTTGAGGCGATGCTATAATATTCCTCAATGTCAAGTCGCACGTCTACCTCGGCGAAACATTCTAGGGTCTTGTAGTAGAGCATATAGCTACCAAATACGCCCACAATTACACACTCGCGAACCATCAAAGTCTCTGTTGAAATACTATAGTAGCCAGGTTCCCTCCGATACTCCAACCAGGAAGTCTGCGGAAGTTGTACCAGAAAATAAAAGCTCAGAAGAATGGAAGGAACCCAGTGTCGCAGTTCTTGGCGGTGGAATTACGGGTCTGGCAACAGCATACTATCTCACCCAAATGGCACCACATTTGAAGGTTACATTGTATGAGAGTAGTGAGAGGCTGGGAGGGTGGCTACGGACAAAACATATTGACGTGGGAGATGGTGAAGTTGTGTTTGAACAAGGACCGAGGACTTTAAGACCGAACACGCCGGCGGGATTTGTTGCTCTAAACTTGGTATGATTACTTTCTAGCTATTTGCTTTGAAGTATTCTAATTCGTGATTCTAGATCAGAGACCTTGGTCTGTCTGACCAGGTGATTAAAACGAACAAAATGTCTGCCGCTGCCTTGAATCGCTTTATCTATTATCCCGATCGGCTTGTGTGCATGCCCGAGCCTAGCCAAGGTTTTTACGCCATTGCCTGGAAAATATTGACAGAACCAGTTTTCAAAGGAATGTACAGGTTGCTCTTCGAATATAAGAGGCCACGAAGACCAACAGAAGTGGATGACGAATCTGTAGGATCGTTTCTGGCCAGGCGAACAGGAGGGGCAGACATTCCGGACAATCTAGTGTCGGCCGTATTTCATGGTATCTATGCTGGTGATATCTACAAACTGAGTGCAAAAAGTATAATGCCCACCCAGTGGGGAATGGAGGGGGCATTCGGAAGTATCAGTGCAGGAATGTCTCAAATGGCAAAATTCAAGAATGCGACAGCTGAAGATGCAGATTTGGAGGAAAAGGAGAAGAGCTCATTTACGGATAATGAGAGGGCAATTGTCAACGAAACAAGTGTATATACTTTTCGCAGAGGAATCGGTACACTATCTGAAGCACTGGACTCCTCTTTGAGGAATAATCCTAATGTAAAGATCAAGCTGGGCGAGGACGTAAGGAAAATTGAGTACGATGGACAAAGTGAAGGCATCAAGGTATGGATCTATTCCTCTCACATCTCTGAATAATGGCTGAATTACCTAGATCTACACAACTCAGACTGGCGAATCATCCACCAATCATTCTTACGTTATTTCTACCTTGTCAGGCCGCACTCTCTCTAGATTAACTACCTCTTCAAATGGTTATTTACTCCCTTCACTTGCAATAACAGAGGCTGTGACGGTCATGGTTGTTAATCTCTACTACCGGGAGGAAGATCTCATTCCGGAGCGCGGCTTTGGATACCTAATCCCACGATCCATTCCTTTTGACCAGAACCCAGAATTTGCTCTTGGTGTAATATTTGATTCAGACGCAACAGTTGGTCAAGATACTGTTCCAGGGACCAAATTCACCATTATGCTAGGTGGCCATTGGTGGAACGACTTCAAAACATATCCTAGTGACGAAGAGGGTGCTGCTATGGCAAAAGCCGTTCTCAAACGACATCTGAAGATCGACCAAGAACCAGAAATGGTACATGCATCTTTGCAGAAAGATTGTATTCCTCAATATACTGTGGGCCATGAGCACAGACTGGAGCAAGCGCACTATGAGTTGTTAAGCGCATACAAGGGAAAACTGGCAGTGGCTGGAAATTCATACACTGGCGTGGGCGTAAATGATTGCATCAAGGCTGCCAAAGTCGTGGCAGGCGATGTTGCACGTGGCAATGATGTTACGGGACTGGAAAAGTTCACTGAACAAAAATGGTGGGAGAAAATTATGAAACGAGGCAACAATAAAGTCCAATAGATCTTTGAAACAACATTATGGTGTGAGTTGAGAAGTTTCTCACGAGGCTTGTAATTTACTAAATGTATAATAGAATAGATGAACATACAATGAATTGCAAAAGCGTGAACATTTATTTTTGTGTCAACAATTCTTGATTTCAATTCAAAATTACTGCATTAAATATTCCATTCACCACGCCCATGGTCCCTAATATATGCCGATCCCCCTTGTGCTTCTCAGACATTCGATCATTGTGAGAGATAGCACCTGCGATTTTGGTTAAAATGTTTTTAGTGTCACTGGGACATGATGCAAGAAAAAGCTTACCTTGCTGAAGCCTGAACCATCGACCATTCGACAGCCACTTTCATCATATGGTGAACGAGGAGCACCATCTTTTTTGGAGTCGTGAGCATGAAAAATATGGAAGTTCTTCGTGATATTCAATATATTGTCACAGCTGGCACATTAGGTCAGATTTAACTGAAAGTTCTGCGAATGGAGGTGGGAAAAGTTTTCGCGTTCCACTTCTGTGCAAGCGAACCCCTATTCTTACCGACCATCTTCCTCGAGAATTTCTGAAGAAAAACTCATTTTATCTATTAATCCATCTTATTTCTATTCTTAAAATACTCTTACTTCCTTAATTTGATTTTCTAACATATTTATATCGTACAATTACATATCGTCATTTTTTGACCTTATTTTCGCAAGTGTTTTTGGAGGATTCTTCAGTGTAAGCACTCGACGCTTTTTTTGAGCGATGAATGAGAAGTCGGTATTCTTTTTCTTATGAGAACATGCGATTGCGTGAACAGATAAGCACTAGCCTGTTAATGGCACATCGGAACTGCAAAGTCCACGATAACGATTTGTGATGGGTGTGTGTGTGTGTGGATTTAGCCAGTAGGAGATGGCGCTTGAGAATGGAAGATACGAGATATTGTTGCAGCTGGATATGAAAGTGGGGTGGTCAGATTGAGGTTATGTATATATAGTCTGCTTTTTCTCCGTCTTCACTCATTTGTCCTTTACTTTAAGTTTACTATTCGGATACTTTTTTGGTATCGTCTCGCTAAGTGCCTTGGATCGCAAATCTCATGTCATATAATACTTTACTAGCTCAGGAAAATTGCATTAATAATCAATTCACATTTTAAAATCAAAATTTACCGCGAAAGAACAATGGAAAACGACGCAGAATTCGTCAAAAAATGGCCTTCCCTTGGCAGGGCAATGGAGTCCGGCATTGAAGTATTATCCTCCACTGTCTTCCCTTGTTCCATTCTCACCCCACTCTATCGTCCTACGCAAAAATTCTCACTAATAATTATCAGTCCCATGACGGCCGCGAAGCTCAACTCCTCGCTTACATCTTATCTCGCAACCCTACCAATCCCTTAGATGTCCTCTCCACCATCGACAAATTTTCCCTACGCCAAGATTTCCTCATCAGTGTAGGTCCCAATAAAGCTGATATCCTGCGTGATCTCGTTATGTGGGAGAAACCAAAAATGCTGGTAGAACTAGGTGGATATTTGGGGTATAGTGCTGTCCTCTTTGCGGATGCGATGGTGAAGGCGCATGGAGGTTTGTTCAGATTTCTCGTAAACGTATGAAACATGCGCGTCTTTAGAATGGCTTGATTAATCACAATACGACAGGTGATACGGGGTTAAAAATTTACTCCCTCGAACTCGATCCCATCTTTGCAAGTATTGCTCGCCAGATCGCTCGAATAGCAGGACTCGATCACATTATTGAAGTTGTTGAAGGCACAGCCGTTTCCTCGATTACTAGTCTAGTTCAAGAGAAGAAAGTCACAAATGTGGATTTCTTGTTTCTAGATCATCTAGAGGATTTGTATGAGCAGGATTTTAAAGTTGTGGAGGCACTGGGTGTGCTGAAAATGGGAGCCGTGGTTGTGGCGGATAATGTGGTTAGGCCTGGAGCACCGAGGTATAGAGAGTTTATTAGAGGAGATGTGAAGAAGGAGCAGGGGTGGGAAAGTTGGGGAGTGAAAGGTTTGATTTGGCCGGGGGATTTTGAGGTGAGTTCGCACTTTTGGTGATGTGGTTGATTTGGGATTTGTTGAGGAATTATGGTTAAAATAATACTGATTGTGAATAGGATGAACTTGAAGTAAGTAAATTAGTTGGTTCCGAATCGGATAAGCAGTGATAAACATTACGTTAAGATGAAAAGTTTGGCGCGGGAAGGTTATTACATTGGAATCATAACATTCATTGGGAAAGAACAGCGTTATATTAACTCGCATAGTGAAATGCATGCTCATTTTGTCAACTTAGTATAAGCAACCAAACAGGTTCAGAGTCAATATCTTTTAAATAACATGATTGCCCTACCGGTTATGAGCCAAGAAAGATTTCTTTTTTGGGGGGGGGTGTAACGTTTGTTTTCATCATTCTGTTCAAATGGAAATTTTGCGTCAGATATGATCTCGATATCATAGTGCAAAAACGAAGAGTTTTAGAGAAAATCTCAAGTTTAGGCACAACAAGCTTTTCGTAACCGTAGAATTATTCGCCACGTAAAGGTGAATATAAGGAGTTGCATTATACACAGCGAGACAAAAATAACAACTAGCAGAATAAATCAAGTATATTCCCACAAAAACAAATCCCGGCATGTTGTTCCAGATACACGGTTGACTAATTAGATACATGACGAAATTGGATCTTCAGATGAAACATACTACTACACAACGACAGCAGAGTTGTTGGCGATTTATCGATCGCTCTAATCAAAGAGGAAAAGACAGTCGCAAACCCCCTACCACCAAATTTGGCTCCGTCGAGCATGTGTAGGGCCAGGATAAGAAGACAGAGATCATAGAGCCTAACTAATCTTCCGCCAATGTGGGAAACTCTTTCTCTATCTCGAGTCTCTCATTTCTTGCAGCCAGAACACGTTTTCTTCGTGCATTCCTCATTTGTGCCATCTCGTGGTGAAGCTCTCTCGCCCTCTCACCATGCCAATTACGAAACTCCCACTTTTTCCAATAGATTAGCTGCTACCACTGATGCCTCGGATCTTCAAGCTTAAGACTTACCGACTCACTTTCAGCCAGATGCGCAGCCTCACTCTCCCAGTAAAGCTCTTTGAATCCCTCAACATCCCCCGGTGTACCCTCCATTTGGACAATAGGGTGTTTAGATACTTCGGAAGCATCCACGAGATCCACGTTATCCCATAAGTCTACGGCCTCGGGAACGATACCTGCAACTTTGTGGAGTTCCCACGACTGTGTATGTCTACAAAGAGGACACCTGAAGTCAGGATTTCCAGGGTTATCCCACTAAAGAAGTGCAAGGTCAATGTCTATTCGTTCACTTAAAAATGATAAAATTGTTGAAGGTACTTACATAGTCGCGACCACAATCGTAATGTACCATATGATTGCAGAAAAATTGAACCCACAACTCTCTGGGTGCGTAGTCTTCGAGGCAATATACACAATTACCAAAGTAAGCACCAGCGTACTTACAAGGGTCATGGCTTGGAAGAGGATGTATGGCGAAAACATTGCCAAATAGGTTTGCTTCAGATTCTGGATCTGCTTCTATTCTTGCTCTGTAGTCTAATGCATCTTGCTCCTTCCCAGGTGTCTCGGGTAACACTTTCAGTAGTTCCATAGTGTTATAAAAGTCGTCAATAAGTCCACGCCAGGTATCGGTTGTAACGGTATCGAACACAAAATAGAGTTGTTTCCTATAGGTGTCAGTAATTGTCTCAAGTGATAAACTGTAAGAGGCTATTGTGTAACTTACCAAGGCCGTTTCTTGGACCAGTCTCTTAAAAGCAGGTAATTGCGCCGATGAGTATTGACCTGTGAAACTTTCTTCGTCAATGCTCTAACCTCCCTTGCTTGTGCAATATCGGGAACACGATCTTTCACGAGATCGGGATCGTATTCGGGTTTGGATATAAGTTTTGTAATCTCCCAGTGTTCATCTTCTGCAATGACACGATTGTCGTATAAATGATCTTCGACATAGTACCTCCTGTTCTTAGCGTCGAAGTCGGCAGCACGATCAAGTAACTGTGACCAGAGGAGCATAGGTCCGAATGGATTAATAGTTCTCCCTTGTGGATCAGGTTTTGAAGGGTGGGTGATCTATTCAAATTCCTGTCAGTTTCATTCGCCTTCGTTTGATAATTACCACGATACATACCTGAGCCCATGCCGCACTTACACGATCGGAATCTATGTTAAAATCCGATATGATATAAGGTTCTCGGGTGCCTGGTTTGGGAATAGAGTTTTGGCTAAATTCATTTGCCAGTGCTTGCAAGAACGTAGTCAGAGTCTGTAATGTAGTTACAAACTCTAAGAGCGATTCATAAATCTTTCTACTCTCAACAGGGACGGAACGTGTCTCCTGCTCTAGTTGTGCTCTACCAATAATGAGTATGTTTTTGAGTGCATCTATTCCACGGGGCTGCGCTCCCAAACTTAACGATCGGTGATGAAGCAATCTTATCCATGCTCTATGTAGTACCCATGCTGCCTTTATTGCCGGATCCGCTATATTTGAGCCATCGGGTAATGCTGGTCGCCCTCCTAAGTGAGGATTTCGCTCATCGACGAATCTTAGAATTCTCATCAAATAGCCGTTGAGGCGGAACATTGCATTGAGATGTTTCCAGGGTGGTGGCGCGTTTCTGCCACTCGCAAGAGCATGTACCATATTATGGAATCGTTGAAGCTTCAAGGAAGCATCGTCCTGTCCTGTTACCCACGGAGGCCAATCCGCCTTATGGCCTTCAAACTCATCGCTATAAAGCCATGCACTCCCGTAAGCCGTCAGATCCTCGACATAATGGTCTATGTACTCGTCACCAACGTTTGCAGCGGCTAGCATTCCCAAAAGCCCTAGAGTATCCTTTGAACCACCCTCTTTGCGAAGCAGGCCTTTGTCGGTAAACAAGTCGGATGCTTTGTTGCTCGACTCTACGTAATCTCGTATCTGCTTTCGATGTGGGTCATCTTCGGAAAGCAGTAAAAGTCTTTCCAACTTTGCTTCTTTCGCGAAATAATTTTCTCCAAACTCGTAAACATCAAAGCCGCGTTCGTCGACGACTTCTTCAGAAACAAATTTGAGTCTCATTTTCCTTAACCCTAGCCATTTACGCCATTCTTCCTGAGCATGGGCCACGCGTTCCACATGGCTCAGTCTTTGTGAATATGGTGGAGGAGGCATCTTGATGACTGGTGGTAGAGAGAATTTAGAATGGTGGATTGAGAGCTCTGGAGGTTTTGGAAGAGATTTGGAAACAACGTTGTATTCACCATGTTATTATCGACAGAGATATGGTCTTGATGCTCTTTGTCCACCCTCGAATTGCCTACCCTTGATCGGTAAAATCAAGAAAGGATAGGCCCCCGGATGCGGGAAACCTACCCCCAAAGAGTCGAAACTTGGTAGAAACTCTCTTTTCCCATAGCAAAGCTGCATTGTTCTTGAAGATTGACTCTATTCAAGTTAAAGCTCTCGCTTATAATTTCACGGGAAAGAAACAACAAAGGGAATAAAGGGGGGAATAAAGGAAGCTTCTTCTTAAACCAAGCCGGATTCAATCCAAAAAGGGTGAGCCAGTGTCTGCATCACGTGGTAGTGTCACAATCCCGATTTCTGTCATCTCCTCAAATCAAACCTTTTCACGAAATCTCGAGATTGAACTATATAAGTTGGTAGGAATGTATATGTTTTGAGAAGGAAAATTGCTTCTGTAATCGTGACTAGGACACCTTTTTTCTATAACAGACCCGTGACATCAAGTGCGCAATTAACATTACCATTCCCCGTTATCACCGACGACATCCCGTCTCACATTCTCAACCACTTTGAAAGATTGAATATTATATAAACGTTAATAGATTCATACATCTCTACCTACCTAAGTATTATATTATCACCGTTCAAGATCTACATTCCCAGCTTCATTTTGATAGTCAACCTTCATCACGAATATTATCTACTATTCTCCCTCATATCTTTACCCTTCAAAGAGTTCAGACTCAAGTCACTCAATATGGCTATACAGAATGCCTGCAACACTATTCCACCAGTGACTAAAGTTGACTATAAAACAAAAGGTACATGGGAAACATTTGCTGGAGTACCTGTATATGTTGCAGGTGGGTTACTTCCATTTCTAGTTATTTGCTCATTATTTGGTTCGTTTGTGTTTTGCTTGGTTTTCATCTTCAACTGCAATCACTTCAGAGATAGCCTCATACATTTCACTTCTTCATCTTCAAAATCCTCAGATCCTAACCGAGTGTTCTAGGAGCATCCAAGCCCACAAACGTCCTTATGGTCATCTATGATATATTTGGTGCTGCACCTCAAACGCTACAGGGTGCCGATTTATTAGCCGCGGCTCTTGAACCATTAGATACTGTTGTTATTGTCCCGGATCTCTTCAATGGGGAAAAAGCTCAAGCAGAGTGGTTCAAGGATTCAAGCGAAGAAGCCAAAGCCGCTAAAGCTGCGTTTGTGGAGTTTGCATACGCGATTGACAGATGGGAAAAGCTTATTGGGGAAGTTGTTGCCGATTGTGGAAAGAAATGGGACAGCGCGAAGGTTTGGGCATGCTTGGGGTTGTGCTGGGGTGGTAAAGTAGGTTTTGTTCCATTCAACTAGTCTGACATATTATCAAGATTTTAAAGATCTGAGTAGGTTGCCGCAGCCACTTCACGAAAAGAGACTCCATGGATAGTATCCGGTCAAGTTCATCCAGGGTAAGCATTTCTCTTGATTTCTTAGAACACTGGGACACCATTGATCTAATGTCTACTAGTCGATTGACGAAGGAGGATGCAGAGAAAATCACAATTCCACATATTGTGCTTGCTTCAAATAGCGAGGATGCTGAAGCCGTGCAAGAATACAAAGATGTTCTTGAAGCAGGGAACGGAGTCGTTGAGACTTATTCAACCATGCATCATGGATGGATGGGAGCTAGGGCCAACTGTAAGTTTTCCTAATTCTTGATTTGTGACTGAAGTTAGAGATACTAATCAACATGCTACGATAGTTGAAAACGAAGACAATGTCAGGGAATATGTTAGAGGGTACGTACTCCTTTCTCTTTCCCAATCACCATGAAGGGTCTCTACTGATGAGATCTTGTGACCTACAGGTATCAACAGTGCGCAACATTCTTCTCGGAGCACTTGAGGAAGTAGATTCGTTGCTGGGAAATGCTCACGAATTTGCGTTTGCAGTGAATCATTGAAGTTGGTCCCAGAAGCAAATTAGCACCGCAGACATATTCTCCTTGTATGAATCAGCCGATACGATTGACAATTCCTAAGTAGGACTCTCAGAGCTTGCGATTCTAGATTAGTTATCAACTGCTACCCTTATTTCCAAGATTGTGCTGTATGCCTCGACATTCGTGAACCCTGTCCGAATGCCTTTACTTTAAAAGTAAAGGGCTTTATATTTACAGTGCTACATTCGTTGACGAGTTAGTAGTCATGCACTTGCTTTACTATGCATTAATCATATATGCTTTTTTCTGTCTTCATCTAGCCTTGTTATTTTCTTCGCCAATGGTATAAATTTCCTCTAGTTTGACATTTCTACCACAGCAACGCCGTCTCAAGCCCTTCGATATCCTATCTGTACTTGAAATTCGAGGGAGTAGAATATTAGTAAAAATTAAAAAGCATATCGTTATTTGAAGATTGAATGTTCTTGGATTCATTTCGTGATTGGTACTTGGGCACAGCTTAATCACCTTCTTCATCTGGGACTCAAGAAATCTTGGAGGTCTGCCCGTTATCTGTAACTATCCCATGTACTGTAACGTTTCGCGTGTAATGCACTCAATATCCAATGAGGATAGATTGACACACGGTCGCTAAAGTACCTCGATACATTATTCCGCTGGCCTCGAGCTGCCAACATACAAAAGTGGGGTGTAAGCACTAGGTATTAGTGTAGCCGTACAAGACTTAGATGTGCAACAAAATCATTAGAGACTCGGGTTTAAATCATTCACGGGAGGCAGCAGTGCAGGTATTCAATTGTTATCTTTGAATTAGTTGGGACGCTTGCTACGACCATTAGATGTGACTGCTAGGGACTCGTGTAATTTTGGGATTGTTACACCGGATGTGTCCAGCGCGGATGCGTATGTTTCACATACTTGTCTGTTGGGATTTGTATTGAGTGCACAGCATAACACTGCATATAGAGGAGGTTTTCGCAAAAAGTCAAATATGACCCCAAAGTTCTCCATAAAAGAAAGACTCCACGGTAGTTACAAACTCGTTATCAACATCGAGAGAGCTGGCGCTCAAGATAATATTGAAGGGAGCATCTTGTTTTCTCAAAACGATCAATTTGTTCAGAGTTGGCATCGTTCAGAAACAACAAGTAGGCTGGCTCTCTACGATAGCTCTCTGAATCCCGCATCATTTTTTACGTGGTATCTGGACCAATTCACGAGGATTCGATTGTTGATGGTTTATTCTGCGATTGACTTATATCGTCGTTCTATCTGTGCTGTTTGGTATGAAAAGAGCATTAAACAATCTTGCCATCACTAAAATAACAAGGAAAAGAGGCTTGAAGTGTATACTTTCTGCACTGTACTCTAAAGTCTGTATATAGCCCGAGCTGCCTGGTGATGAGTTCAAGATCCGGTACATTCTCCGATCCAGACAACGATGCAGTATGGTATTGACAGGAAGTCAAAAAAAATAAAAAAATTGGTAACTTATGATATATGAAATCTTTTTTGCTAACCAGCTCAAAGACAGGCCGATCTCTTGCTACTGCAAATACCTAGTCTTGACCTTCGGTTGTACAACCTGGGACATGAAATATAGAATATAGAACGCAAATGCACACTTATAGTTACAACCCAGACCACACTAAAACCCCATATCGAGAGAATGCACCTTGAGTGTATATTAGAGTGTATATTAGAGTGTATTTTCTCATACATGACAAGACACGCAAAATGTGTATCCATCCATCACCTGAAGAAGAGCTTCTTATTTACACAGAGAAAGAGGTAGATTAGAGCTATACCATACGCACAGAAGTACCAAATAACCATCCTCTCTTCCATGTCCACTCAAGTTCCAACCATTCGCACTCACATCTTCCTTACTTCTCAATCGCCCATCCACGAAAACCCTCTCTCGCTTATTTCCACCCCTCGCTCCTTCTCCCCTAAACATCCCCAACTCCATCCTCATTCTACATGACAAGAACTTCCATTCCCGGATCCCATTCATCACTTCTTTTTTCATCTCCTCACTTGTTCCTATGCGTCACTTGAAGAAAGAAGAAGGTTGCTTGAGATTCTTCTTCAGATTCAGCAAAATACTTCTCACGCAAGACCTTTTCACATGAGACTATACCCAGCAACCCGAATCCCTTAATGCTTTCTCTGCCCCTTTTCATCAACATCATTTACTGCCCCAACACCCTCCCCTAGTCTCTTGATTGATTCAAGACAAGTTACAAGTAACGCAACGCAAAAGCCCTCTCTCAGATGGCCTAAGATCATAGTATCCTACTTACCTACTTAGTTTATTCCAGATCTACATTTTAACATCTCATAATTGCTCACTTTGTTCAAAGTAGAATCAAATATGTACGGAATCATGTATCATGCATCTTTATCATTATCATTAATCTTAGAATTCTTGTCCATCATCCATCATTAGCTTATTTCCTTGTATGTGCATTCGCATAGCCAACTTTCCTTTCGAGGAACCTTGCCCTCCAAGCTCCATATCCTTAGGCTTTGAATGGCCAATCCCATAAATTTTCCTCGTCACATTGAACTCCGTCCCTATTTTCAATCCAACCTGCCTGACCCATATCGCGCATCGAATTGCCTTAAATCCACACCCCCCCGACGGCAGCCGCCACTATCCCTAGTATTGTAGGCAAAGCTTTATGGTCAATTCCGGCTTTATTGGTGCTTCTGACTTTTCCGCCAATAGCACCGGCAGCATTTGTACCAGGGCCTCCTTGGCCAGCCCCAGTCGTACATGCCGCTATTCCCGTCACCAAAAATCCTTGCTGATCAAAGCTTTTTGCCGTACTGCATCCTACAAAAATTGTGCTTGTTACAGCAAATCCTCTAGAATCCCAGCCCGTGATCGTTTCAAGGCCATCTCCTGATAGCGGCGAAGAAAAAGAAGGTGAAGGGCCCACATAAGAGGAGGGGATTAATCCTGCTGATGTCTAATCATTAAAGTCAGTATGCGGGAAAAGTGAAAGATATTGGGGATAGATTGACACGTACTTATTGGTGAAGCACTTACAGGGACAATTTTCCCCTCGGAAGAAATTTCCCAACCTGAAGGAATGCTTGGCCCAGTGCTCCATGTTACCTTCGATACGGTTTGCGTTCCAGCAACCCAAGGATATCCAGTTCGAGTGGCCGAATTACCATTGTTGATACCGGCGGGGATACTTGGGGAGCTAGATGTAACAGCAGCAGCGCCAGCAGTTTGAATTGATGAAGCGGACGCTGGCTCATTGCCATTTACCGATCCACCGACGGCTTGGATTGATGTCCAGTCTCCAGATTGATCTCCATATCTGTATTGGGTACCAGTCGAATAATCACTCACGTCAATTGACTTAACAAGCATAGAGAATGGACCTTTGGAGTAATCGGTTGGACCACGCGCCCAAGAAATTGTCCCAGGGGCATTTGATGAATCTCCTCCTGACCAGGCCCCAAACTTGATTTGCATTGGCGATTGTGGGTATTGGTCGGTATCGGCTGTTGCGGGTGTAAGGACTCTTACTACAGTAGAACCTACGGACCAAACGACCTGCTTTGAAGTCCACTCAATAGTGTAGGTGATAAATTGACCTTGGTTATTCGCCGCTGGATTGAAAGCTCCGCGATTATAGTCTGTAACTTTGCCTTTGCCGAAATAGTTGGTTTGTACTTCAGTATCGTCCGCTCCAAGCCATTCCATATCAATCTCATCTAGGTCGTCGGATTGTAAAACTAGTGTGCTGACAATACCCGCGCCAGGGGCTGCCTTCATTGTGATTTGCACCTTTCCAAACATGATATAGAAGATGCTAGAGAGTGTTGGCGCATCGCCTGATTTGGATACTGTGAATGAAGCGCCATTGGAGCTGTATGAAATAGCGCCAGAGCCAGTAAAGGAATTAACGGATCCTGAAGTGAAGTCGACATCGATAGATTTCCCCAAGCCAGTATTCGCAGGACAGCCAGCTAGTGAGAGGTCAGCAAAGCTTCAACAAGATATGGAAACGAAGCAAGCCACTAACTTGTGAATAATGGGTTACAAGAACTGTAAGTCTGAGCAAAGGTTGATTTAGCAGACAACAATGCCGTTGCAGCGGTGAGAAGAAGTTGGGGAAACATCTCCAAGTAGAAGATATTAAAGGCGAAAAGGCAAGTCGCAGAAAGTCAAGTGAATGTCGTACAACGGCCGAGATCAGTGATCTTCTTGAGGGTCGAAGCTCGATTGTCGAGAAGAGGTCCAGATACCTGTGTCCAGAATATTTTCAAAGAAAGATGCGACAAATTTATCGGTGAGTACCCTTAAATGGAAGTGAATATGGAAATCAACCGTTTCATGCACCTACTCGTGTGGGTACATGGCTATATGAGGCTGCAGGAGATAAGTATGTATGTATATACATTTCCAGCCACCTCATTATCGTTTGTGCATTTGGATATATATCAGGGACCAATGGACCTGTAAGCAAGGATACGATTAGTTCTAGAAACAAGATGATACACTGTATAGCCAAATTCCACATGGACCTGCAAATCAAGCGTCATCATTTGTTGGACAACTTGAATTTGAAGAAGAAAAAAGAAATTAATGAAGAGGTTGGTGGGTGGACCAGAGTCGTATACCGAGTATCTCTCGGAGAGATTCTCACCAAGTCCTGGGCAAATTGAGTTGTGGTTGTTTTCTTTTCCATGTATCAAAGCTCAGCCTCACTGACCCATCCACTTCCTAGGTACACGTGCTTGGTAGCTAAAGAAGAAGAGAAGGCTGGGCTGGGCTGGCTGGGCTGGCTTGGGATGTTGACACCTCGAGGCTTCGAAAGCGTTTGGCACAATTGACACAATTGATTTTGGTCAGCTCCAACTCTCGAGGCCTGTCAATGCTAATAATGCTCATGATCGGTGCTAGGCTCTTGGCTGCGCCATTTAGCGTCGGCGAGTCGGGAGTTATAAAATAGAATAATTAGAGGAGGGGAGGAACGAGAAAAGGGAATGGGAAAGGGAAAGGAAAAGGAAAAGGAGAATTGGGTTCATCCAAAAATATCATCTTAAATTACTATGTCAATCAAACCTCCCCTGCCCAAGATTGATAAGATCAAACAGAAATAAATTCGCAGCTCGGCGCTCGTAAAGGAGATTCTTTCGGATCTGTACGAACACAATCCATTGTCGAATAACAAACACGAAGATGAGCGCGGAACCCAATAATAACGAGACAAAGGCCGATGTCTCAGAGGAGGGGGTGGAACCAACATCTACAATTATGGAGGGACCAAAATCTACAATCGAGCAAGATCCAAAGCCTACAACAACGGAATCATCACCAGTAAAGATCGATGACTCAACTCCAATTCCACAAATCACTCCCGAAGAGCCAAAACCTACAATCGCAGAGCCATCGACAACTGAATCAGTAGCCGCGGAGCCCACCACGGAACAACCCCAGGAAGCAGCCGTCAAGCTAGAATCTGTCAAAGAAGCCGACGCGGAAGCAGCCACTAAACTACAAGCTACCAAAGATGCGGATGTGGAGAAAGCAGCTTCAACCTCTCAACACTCAGTCTCATTCGATAAGACTACCAAGACACATGATGGCTCGCCATTGTCCAAGTTCTATTCAGAATTGCCGGCAATTCTCGAGGCAGCTGAATACAATGAGATGTGGGGTATCGTACTTGATCCATCGGAAACTCACGTTCAAACAAGTATAGTTCTCGAGAAATTCTTGCGAGCAAACACAAAAGACGTTCCTAAAGCCAAGGCTCAATTGATTGAGGCCTTGAGATGGCGAAAGACCATGCAACCACAGAAGCTCTTGGAGAGTACCGAGTTCGACAAGGTCAAGTTTGGTAACCTAGGATATGTAACGTCTTATAATACTAGCGACGGTGGTAAAGAAGTTATCACATGGAACATCTATGGAGCAGTCAAAAATGCTAAGAAGACATTCAGTGACGTTCCTGAGTGAGTAACGCATTAGATGTGGTGTCGATATAGTACTGATCTTTTGACATAGATTTCTTAAATGGAGAGCAGCACTCATGGAATTATCCATTAAAGAATTGGATCTCGCCTCAGCAACCGAAAAGATACCCGAAAACGGCCCTGATCCATATCGTATGATCCAAGTCCATGACTATCTCAATGTCAGTTTCCTACGAATGGACCCCAGTATCCGTGCCGCATCCAAAGAGACCATCCAAACATTCAGCATGGCTTATCCTGAGCTGTTGAAGGAGAAGTTCTTTGTTAATGTTCCCTTGGTGATGGGTTGGGTTTTCACGGCAATGAAAATCTTTTTGAGTGCCGATACAATCAAAAAGTTCCATCCGCTCAGCTACGGATCCAATCTTGGCAGTGAACTTCCTCATGTTGCTGCAAAGTTACCAAAGGAGTACGGAGGGAAGGGTGAAGAATTGAAGACTGGTCTTACAGTCAAGTATTCTGAAGGAGAAGCCTCAAGATCCGCTTAGGATATCAAGTTAACGACACGAGCTATGGTCTAATTCGAGAGGACGTAATGTCATGGGTGGCTAATGTTCTGGAGAGGAACTATTCATTTTAAACTGGGGCGTTCAATATATCCATTGCTTTGTAGTTGCTCATTGAAGTTTATAAGCTTCATCTGATACCATATATAGCAAAAGAACTTATAATATAATATAATGACTATGATATACTCGAGTAGTTTGAGTCGTGTAAACATTCGTCGCCTCTACATCCACACTCGACACATATGCAGCATGTATTGCCTCTCCATCTGAGAAGAGAGCAACAACCATCATATCTCACTGTTCTCTTTTGTACAACTTATGATTGAGTCTTTTCTTTTGTAAGTGTTTTGACTTTTTCGCAACGGGTTTACATTAAATGTTCTTAAGTCCTGCTGACCGAGTGAAGATGGATTCGAGCTCAACGGCATTCATGAGGGGGCTGTTTCACATATGACCAAGCTCACAATCAGATTGAATCAACTTATTGCATTTGACATCTGGACAGATACCGCAGATAGGATTGTGAATATCTTTGCCTTCTTGAATATCATATGCATACCTAGGTAGGATTATTACATGACCATGTATAAGTATGAGAATTGTTATAAGGCGGACCTATCGACCTACGACCAGTGTAGTTATTATTTACCTGCATCTCGACCTACTTATCTACCTACATACCAACCTAGTTCTCAGCCTTGTCTCTGTTAGGCTGTTGATAAAAGGAATGCATCAAGGCTGTTCTGACTTTGAGCTCGAGCAAATATTAATCATTTGGAGCTTGGGTACATATTTTTAAGTATTCCAAGGTTAATCGGTTATGATTTTTGTTTGAATTTTCTGAGGGGCAGCGTGAATCGTTTGATAGAACTTTGCTACAAGAATCTTGGTAATACATACCTAGGTACATATGAATTCCTCACTATGCTACCTTGATATTGATTCTCGGAGGACGGTATGGGTAAAAGGTAATATCTTATGTCTAGATGTGTAGATGGCTAAATGTGTAGATGGCTAGAGATAGCCGCACGAAATGAGCACGCAGGCACGCAGGCACGTATCAATAGGTCAATAGATAATAAAATAGGTAGCAAATAGGTAGCAAATAGTAGGTAGTATGTATATACTGTCTGGAGTGATGGAGTATCAAATACCTAGGTAGTTCTTTACTTCCTTCATGCCGTATCCAACTTATTCCAAACAAGCACGCACTCCTGCCCTTCCCTACCTACAAAGCGTCATTAGCATTTACGCCACACTTCATTGTGACCACCCAAGCGATTCTTCTATTCACATCAATCAATTAGCCCGTACGGCGCACCTCGTAACTACTAATAAATAAATCGTCCTGGGTAACCCACTCCACCGTGAATAATAAACCCACTCCAAGCTTGCATCACCAGAGACCAGAGAGGTGACTGAATTATTATATCACCGATTCACCTACTTATTAGTACAAAGAGTACCTACCTACTAGGTGGTACTTTGCAATTATTAGAACACTACAGTACTACAATCTACTGCCATCGAATCCAGGCAAGAACACCGAACGAAGGAAGGAACTCATTATTACCCTACCAGTCAGTACACTACACTACACCAGACTACAATACAAAACAATACAATACAATACACTTCACTACAATACACTCTACAACACACTACACTACACTACGCTCACTACTCTTACTAGGATTTTAACAACACCTAGCTCCCACTACTACTTCAAACCCTTCACACTTCCACCAAACCAATTCACCATCGAGAGTCTATCGAGAGTCTATCAAAAGTGTACAATTTTGCAGCATATTTCGAGATACCATCGCTTGAATTGAATTTATAATCCCCTCTCTCTTTTGCTCTGCTCAACACCACCACCTTTCTCCTACCGCCCCCCCCCCTCCTTCTATCTTTGCTTCTTTCCCACTGGTCTTGTTATTCTACATCGGAGAAGGTCGTTGGAAAAGAGTTTAGAAGCTGGTTGTACCTTTTGTCGACCGCGACCATGGATCCTGTAAGCAAAGATTCTGAGCATTCCCCACTTCCACCCCTCGCATGATTTCAACATCCCATATCTACTGTTATGTAGCAAGTCCTGCTTGCGCCAACATGGTACCCGATCCTCGTACTAATCTAATCTCTTTCAAACAGTCTATCGATGCAGATATACAATCACCCGAGAATATGATTGTTGATCCAGACGAGTATGTCGAGCCATCGGATAATGAGAAGGATGATATCGCCATCATAGATCCGGATGAACCTAGGCCAACGCCTGCGGATGATTGTACAATAAACCAACCATGGAGGGTCAGGACACTAAGCTAACATGTGCACAACAGATGAAGCTATAGAAGAGCTGGTCTTGCCACCGCTGGATCAACAGCCCCCGATCATAGAGACGGTTCATCATACTTGGGAAATTAAAAATTGGCAAGGGCTTCAAAAGAGAGAACATGGCCCAATTTTTCATGCTGGAGGATACCCATGGTAACCATCTGGAATATACCAAACTAGTGCGCAATGAGTGCTGATTAGATTAGGCGTATTCTGATGTTCCCATACGGAAATAACAGCGATAATGTGTCCTTCTATCTGGAGCATGGATTCGAAGACGGGCCTCCGGACGACTTTGTATGCTGTTTGCAATTCGGTCTCGTTCTATGGAATCCGAATGATCCAACTCTTTACACTTACCACACTGCGCACCATCGATTTACCAAAGAGGAAGGGGACTGGGGCTTTACTCGATTCGTTGAAACCCGCAAGCTTCATGCTCATGTGTGGCCTGGATCCAGTCCCCCAAGGCCGTTGGTTGAGAGCGGAGAAGCAAATATGACGGCATATGTAAAAATAGTCGAGGACGAAACAGGCGTTTTATGGCACAACTTCAACAACTATGATTCGAAGAAAGAAACTGGATTTGTCGGGTTAAAAAATCAAGGAGCAACATGTTATTTGAATTCGCTCATTCAGTCCCTATATTTTACTAATGCCTTCCGGAAGGTATGTATTGGCAACTAGCTACCTCGGGGGTCAAAAATTAACACAATCTTTAGGCAGTATATCAAATTCCAACACAAGACGAGGACACCACCACAAACAGCGCATATACTTTACAACGCCTCTTTTATCAGCTGCAGTCATCTTCTGCAGCTGTGAGTACCAACGAACTCACCAAGTCTTTTGGCTGGGATACGAAACAGATTTTTGAACAGCAAGATGTTCAAGAGCTTTCAAGGAAGCTGATGGAGGTGATGGAAAAGAGAATGAAGGGGACTGAAGCTGAAAATGTCCTCCCTAAATTGTTCTGCGGAAAAGTGCGAACGTATATCTCTTGTATTAATGTCGACTACGAATCTCGCCGAGTAGAAGATTTTTGGGACGTCCAATTAAATGTTAGCGGCAACAAGGACATTGAAGCGAGTTTCCGGGATTACATTCAAGTCGAGACAATGGATGGCGACAACCAATACTTCGCAGGTGAAAACTACAAACTTCAAGATGCGAAGAAAGGTGTCATCTTTGAATCATTTCCCGAGGTTCTTCATTTGCAGCTTAAGAGATTCGAATATGATATTGAGAGAGATTCTATGATGAAGGTCAATGATCGTTACGAATTTCCAGATACTTTTGATGCCGCACCATATCTATCAGATGATGCAGATAGATCCGAATCCTGGATTTATAAGCTGCATGGGGTCCTTGTACACAGCGGCGACCTCAACGCAGGACATTATTATGCATTCATCAAGCCTGAAAAGGATGGCTGGTTTTACAAATATGATGATGACAAAGTAACCAAAGCCACAATGCGAGAAGTCTTGGAGGATAATTATGGAGGAGAGATGCCCCTTTTGAATGGGCAAGTTTATGATGCATCGCAAAAACCTATCATACGACATAACAGCGCATACATGCTGGTCTACATTCGCGAGGCAAGACTCGATGAGGTATTGCTCCCCGTAACGAACGCCGATACGCCAGCTCATCTCCGTAAGTTATTACGCCCTAGCTTGCCTGGAACTTAACTAATACCACTTAGAAAGAAAACTTGAAGAGGAGGCCGCTTTCAAAGAAGCACGACGGAAGGAACGTGAAGAACAGCACTTGTACCTTACTGTGAGGGTGATTACTCAGGAGACTTACGCAGCTCATGGCGGACATGATCTTACAGTGTTTGACCGAAGTCATGATGAAGATCCTGCGGCTGCTAAATCCTATAAACTCCTCAAGAAGTGTACTATTAGAGAGCTCATCAAGGTGATTGGTAAGGATACTGGAACTGACCCGAGAAGATTACGAGTCTGGTTCATGGTCAATCGTCAAAACAAAACAACAAGACCTGACACGCCTGTTCTGGACTATGATCAAACCATTGAAGAAGCTCACCTGAAATTAGCTGGTAGTAAGACACAGGAGCTGAGGCTTTGGGCCGAAACAGCCGAAGAAGTCGATTCTAATGGCGATGCGGTGTGGCCAGCTCATCCGTTGGTGAAGGAAGGGTCATCTCCAAGTAGATCTGATGAAATTGTCATATTTCTCAAATGGTTCAATGTCGATACCCAGTCTCTAGTTGGATGCGGTCACATTTATATCAGTAGCCAGAGTAAAGTCGAAGAATTGGCCCCATTCATCTTGAAACGTATGAATTGGCCAGAGGATACTAGATTGAAGCTCTACGAGGTATGATTGATGTTTTTCGCATTGTATCGTATTTTCTGACATCGCATAGGAGATAAAACCAGACATGATCGAACCTATGAAAGCGAAACAATCACTGAAGGCAGCAGAACTCCAAGATGGCGATATTGTTTGTTTCCAGAGAGCTACGGAAGGAAGTGGTGGAAGCGAGTGAGTTCCTCGATTGACATTCCTGAAAAAGTAGAATGATGTTAACTGCAACAGTGGCTCGGATACGACTACAATGGTCTCCAATGGCCTAAACCCACGCCAGCAGCCTCTCAAATCATCTGACATCATAGATGATGCGCGACTATATTACGACTTCCTCCGTCATCGAAGGCTCATTACATTCCATTGTCATCCAACCAGAGGAAGCAAAGAATTCAATATAGACAATTGCGAATCGTTCACTCTGGTATTAAGTGCGAAACACACTTATGATCAGGTAGCTGCCAAGGTTGGAGAGAAGCTGAATGTAGAACCGACTCATATCAGATTTTGGACTATTGCCTTGAATACAGGCAATCCTAAGACGGCGATCAGGCGCACGTCGAATCACACTCTGGTCAACATGGTCAGCAGTAGTTACGCGTCATTTGCTGGCACCACCATTAGGTCAGATGCTTTATTTTTCGAGGTCCTTGATATCAGTCTCGCAGAATTGGATACCAAGAAACCCATGAAGGTTAGCTGGATCAGTGAAGGTGTCACAAAAGAAGTAAGCCTGTCTAATTTTTTGGTGTAAATCCGGGAATGGTATTAATTGATCGTAGGAACCACTGGATATACTGGTGCCTAAAACTGGAACTGTGGATGATATAGTGTCCTCGGTGATCAAGAAAGCACGATTAGAAGACGAAGAAAAGGGTAGACCTATTCGAGTATATGAAACACACAGCAACAAAATTCACAGAGAGCTTTCTCGTGGTCATCTAATCAAGGATCTCACCGATTACATTTCAATTATACTAGAGCGAATACCGGAAGAAGAGCTTGCACAACCGAATGGTAGTCAGTACATTCATGCCTTCCACTTCCACGGTGATCCAACCAAAGCGCACTCAATTCCGTTCAAATTTCTCATCTTCCAAGTAAGTTGCCTTTTTCTTGATCTGGAGGCCTACAACTGACACTCGCAGGATGAAATATTTTCCGACACTAAGAAGCGACTGGAGAAGCGGACTGGTATAAAAGGCAAAAACCTTGAGAAGATCAAATTTGCTATTGTCAAGAGGAGCTCTTACACAAAACCTATATACTTGAATGATGGTGAGTTGTAACCTATGACAGATTTATTTGCCCGACTAAACATCTCCTAGACGATACATTATGGGATATGCTTGGGGATGATGACGACCAACTCGGATTAGATCACATTGATAAGGTACGAAACACAAGGACTGGCATGGGAGACTTGTTCTTGAAGTAGATTTTGGCATTGCTTATGAGAGGTTTTCTGCATGGCGCTATTGGTTGGCGGGAAAATAGGCACAGTCTTTGATAAAGACTGCGCGATGATGTAGACAACGGGCATGGTAGCGAAGTCAATTTCTTCTAAACAACATAATAGGTCACCAGAAAACTTCATTCCTAGCGATAAATGATCGAGGACGATGGGAAGATCAATGGTAGCTATGATGCAGATATCCTTCTAGTATGATGTTAGCCACTTTGTAACCTAAATAACAAGCACGAAATTGTTTACCACGATGCCCCTTCTTGAAATAAACTTGTCATGGTAAGAATAGTGAACGGTATTGATTGATATTGATAGTTGAGTAAAGAATTACACAGGCCACTTGTAACCCCTGGTTTGGAGGAAAGGAGGAGTTACTCGCTAGTTTCACTGCGCCCGAGGATTATCCGACTGACAGATAGCAACATATCTCCAAAATCGCGTCAGTGTCAAGGGTCGATTACCTTTACAACTACACAATAATAAATCATGAAGCCGTCTTTGATCTGGTGTAGCCTTTTGGCATGCATTTCTCCTCTTGTGTCTGCCACCGCCCTCACATACAAGCTCAGCGCCAATGAAAAGGCATGCTTTTACTCCAATGTCGACAAACAAGGTGCCAAAATAGCCTTTTACTTTGCTGTACGATGCGCCTGACCTCCGATATCTACATGAACATCTCTGACATTTTACATTATATAGGTTCAAGCTGGAGGATCTTTTGATGTGGATTATGAAGTCGTAGGTCCAAACGAAAGAGTTATCATGAAGGAAGAGAAAGAGCGACAAGGCGACTTCGTCTTCACTGCCACAGAGGTCGGAGAATACAGGTTTTGCTTCAATAATCAAATGAGTACTTTCGCAGAAAAGTTTGTCGATTTCGAAATCGCTGTACGTTTACACTCCACGAAATTTGAATCCAGAAACTATCACTGACATGTCTATCACTGCCATAGGTTGAGAACGAACCTCGAGCTTCCATACCCTCGAAACAAGGCACAACTCCCGAACAAACGTCCGCATTAGAAGAATCTATCTTTAAGCTCTCAGGCCAACTCTCTACTATTACAAGAAACCAAAAATACTTCCGCACAAGAGAAAACCGCAACTTTAGCACAGTGAGAAGTACGGAGAGGAGGATTTTCAACTTTAGTGTCATTGAAAGCTTGATGATGATGTGCATGGCCGCGCTACAAGTCTTTATTGTTCGATTCTTCTTCCAGGTACGCATTTCTAGCTTCAATATGTATAGAGAGAGATTCTAACGATAGGGATTAGGGTGCCAGAAAGGGTTATGTTTGAACGAATTGGGTCTGGGATGGCTTTGAAGATGATTGAAATGATTCTGGGTCCGAAGAGGGGTTCTGTGTACCTATACACTCAACAAAAGTGACGCTCAACATGATTACAATCAAGTTAATTGATTGTATTACTCCATTCCTATGTCTGTTTGAAGTATGTGTGAATTAATTCATAGTCTCCAAAGCCTTACATAAACACACATGACTTTTGAATATTTCGACAGTACTAAATAGGTAAGCCGTCGTACCAATTTAGCTAGATACACAAGTCAATCATGTATAATTTATTATTCTATAATTCATTAGATACTTATTATTAGGCATTATATATATATTGGATTTTATAAGCTCTCCTCTATCTCACATGCATGGTACAAACTAGTGTCAATTAGGTTAGCGTGACGTAGCATGGATGAGAATCGCGACAATTTGACATTTATCGATTCACGATAGGCACAAGCTTCTATAACCAATTCAATCTCGTGTTTTTGTATCTTCCAAACCACTTCAACACGATCAAATCCCACCTGTCTACATATTATCGCATCAATGGCAGCTTCTTTATCACGGGCATTGCCAAAACCAAAATACACAGGTGAAGAAGAGGATATTCCACAACATGCGCAACAGAGAGGTCCTCGAATCCTAGGCGCAGGCGCTTTGGATGATACCCAAATTGTATTAAAGGTTGGTCTTTCAAATCTTAAGCAATTAGGGGTCCCTTCTAACAATATATCACGTTCACAGAAAACCGGACCTCCACCATATGGTAATCGAACAGGATGGCGGCCACGAGGACAAGAAGACTTTGGCGATGGAGGTGCTTTCCCAGAAATTCCAGTCGCACAGTATCCTTTAGATATGGGACGAAAATCTACTTCATCGAATAATGCGCTGGCTCTTCAAGTTGACGGCGAAGGGAAAGTCAAGTATGATGCCATAGCACGGCAAGGCCATAATGATAAACGAATAGTACACGCCTCTTTCAAGGACCTTATACCTCTTCGACAACGAGCTGATGCCGGCGATATTAATTTAGATAGACCAAGTGAAGAAGAGGTTGCGGCTTCTACCGAACGAACGAAGAATGCCTTGGCAACTCTGGTCAGTGGTGCAGTAGCTGCACAAAAACCTAAGAACGTAAATGTCGGGGCAAGAAAGGACCCTACTTATGTCAGATATACCCCGGCGAATCAGATGGGAGATAACTCGAGGAAAAATGATCGAATCATGAAGATTGTGGAAAGGCAGCAGGACCCTATGGAGCCTCCCAAATTCAAGCATAAGAAAATTCCCCGTGGTCCTCCAAGTCCTCCGGCTCCCGTCATGCATTCGCCTCCACGAAAATTGACTGCAGAGGATCAAAAAGCTTGGAAAATTCCACCTCCTGTGTCGAACTGGAAGAATCCTAAGGGTTACACGGTTCCACTCGACAAAAGACTAGCTGCAGATGGACGAGGGTTACAGGACGTCACTATTAATGATAAATTCGCACAATTTGCAGAAGCTCTCTTCACGGCAGATAGGCATGCACGAGAAGAAGTCAAGCAGAGAGCATTAATGCAACAAAGGCTAGCAGAAAAAGAGAAGGCACAGAAAGAAGATCATCTTCGTATGTTAGCACAGAAGGCACGAGAAGAGAGGGCTGGAGCCGGCGCTGGCTCCCGAAGGCGAGACTCCAGATCGTCAAGATCTCGTTCTGGAAGCTATAGTGAATCCGAGTCTGATCGATCAAACAGCGATGATGAAGAATTCAGAGAGCGAGAAAAGATGCGTCAAGAGAAACGAAGAGATGAAGAACGAAAACTACGACAGTCGCGCATGGGTACGGAGAGGAGGATTCAAATGATGGCGCGAGAGCAGAATCGAGATATCTCAGAAAAGGTCGCTTTGGGTTTAGCAAAACCTACACAGTCAACCGAAACTATGTTTGATTCCAGGTTATTTAACCGGACAAGTGGGTTTGATAGTGGGTTCAACGAAGATCAAGCATATGACAAACCTCTTTTTGCGGCCCAAGATGCTATTAGTAGCATTTATCGACCACGGCAAAATATGGATGACGATGATGATGAAGCAACAGCTGAAGGTGAGATGGCTAAGATTCAGAAAAGTAATAGGTTTGCGGATGCCCTTGGAAAGGGAACCTTTCAAGGTGCAGCAGATGTTGAGGTAAGAAATTTCCCCTTGGTCACGAGTGGGAATGAAGCTAATTTGAGGGGTGAACAGGCGAGAGAGGGACCGGTGCAGTTTGAAAAGGATGCTGGCGATGTTTTCAACGTCGATGATTTTCTGAGCAAGGTCGGTGAAAGTTCTAATAAAAGAGAATATGGGTTACAGGAAGGCGAGGGAAGGTCCAACAAACGGGCGAGAGTGGATGAGGATGATGATTAAATGCATGGGCAATCATGGGAATGCATGGACAGCGTTGTATTTATAGATAATCTATAGGATTGGGGCAATCCGTGTATAAAGCATGGCATAGGCATTTGTACATTGACAAAATGAGTGTCCGTTTTTAATTGATTCTAGATTGTCTTTTGTGTTTTATTTTGCACCCTTCTGATAGAGAGTTGATGAATCTAGTTTCTCAAAAATAAGATTTCCAAGCACATTGGTCTGTCCTACTACAGCATGCAAAACCTCTTAGAAATATCATCTAAGTTCGAGTAATCAATGTTGACAGATGTGTTAGCCCAACTTCAAGCAGATGATATTCATATATAATGAATTCTCGCTCGTATACCTAAAACCACCCAACTACAACCAAGCTTTCGCCTACACATTGAAGGCATGGGGGACTTTTATCATACTGGTCCCAAAATCCTTGCATTGAAGCTTCGTTGTACTTGAATGTTTTTCTCTGTACTGTACTGTACTGTACTGTACTGTACAGACTTACGTACCTCTAATTGACATTTCACCTAGACTCAATCAGGTACTAGGCAGCATTATACACATATTATATTAAATCGTTAAAACGCTTTTTCTGTCCCCAAGGAATGGTGGATAATTAGTCGTCGGCCTCGGCATGTTATTACTGGTGAAAGGGTTGTTGAACTCTTGATTACGCGGCTTTCGACGACGACGACAATTTTGGAAAGGTACGACGTCGTTCTTTTGGGCTTTTGATGCATGCTTTTTAATTGATTTTGGAAATTGGAGAAGTTCTGGGTGGAAAGGGAGAGCAGGTTAGGAAGATAGAAATTAGAGCTTTATTTTGGTTAAGTCTACCGGTATTGATGAGGAAGGTTTGTGGTGAGAAATATATGTCAAGAGACGATCTGCGGGTGTGAAGTCAATTATATATGGCAGCCGGTAGTTCGAGAGAAAGCAGGACATCTCTCTTGAAGTGGTACGTACATACATACATACAGGCAACTTCCCAACTAGCTAATTCAATTAATAGTAATTTTCTCCTTCTTTGCCCTGCTCGCTCTATGAGACCCGTACCTGCCCAGACTTTTCACAAGTCACTAAAAATAGAGTCTGGAGCTTGAGCTAGAACCACCAAAACTGGACCTACTCCATACAAATGCAGAAAAGAAAAAACATGATTAGATCTTTCCTTATCTGAATCATCAAGGAATACACGGTATTCGTATTACTCGAGTACATCTCGGACTTTAACTCAATTGACTTCTGAGTTGGCAGTTCGTCTTTTAGTTGAAACAATATCCAATGGTTCATCCCGACTTATGTCCTCCATCAAGCTTTATATTGGCCCAACGAACCTGATGATCTTCGTCTTCCAACACGGCAACTTCATGATTCTTGATTGAAGTTTATGAACCCCACAGTACTCGAGTAGTATGAACAGATAATTCGTCATAGGAG